TGTTTTTGCATGTTTTAATGCAGTGTTTTCCATTTTAGTGTGTCTTGAGACGTTGTGCCATGTGAAAAAAATCTAATATGAATAGTACCTGAGTTGCCATTTTTTTCTGTTTATTTATTTATCTATTTATTTATTTTTAAGCATCTTTTTCATGGCTATAGTCTAGAGTGTGCTGAGGGGAGGTGCCCGGTTGGACAGTCATCAAAATAATAATCTTTCTGAGTGTTTCTTATTTTATGTCTTTGCAAAAATTAAGATATCTTAGTGGCCATAATTTCCATCGATATCAATGTTATGGACTACAGGTGTAATAACTAATACAATACAAATAGTAATAATCCGCATGCCGCATAAAAAATGGCGCCGTGACAAGAGCTCTAGTGTGTGCTATCTGGGGCACACTGGGGTAGTCTTGCTCAGTTTTCCAATGTGGTTTTACTGCAAATGTCAAATATATTCTTGAATCTTTAACCCTCTTTGCACAGGTTGACAATATGCGGTCCTGAATTTCTCCTACGGGGATCAATAACGTGTCTATCTATTGTTTAATGCGGGCGATTGTGTCAAGCAGGATGTCAAAACTCATTCCAACTCCCTGCCGCACAATGAATTGCACTGTTTTACTCTTTCCCTGACTCTTGAGTATTGCACAATGTGAGTTCTGTTTGTGTGTTCAGATCCTAGTGATTAGTCTCAGTAAAAAATAAATAAAGAAAGAAAATCCACCATTGCCAACACCAAATGAACTTATAATATGAAAATTAGATCCCACATAAACTTTGGGTCATCCTTACAATGTCTCTAATTCACATAAAGCCTCTTTCTCTCATCGCTTTTAAGTTATTAAGAAATGAAGATGTCAAAATTGAGCCTTTAGGAGAAAACCTCTGGTGCCTAAAGGGTTAATTGAATCTTACTCTGATGACGCACAAGCACTCAGGTAAAGTTTACTCCCCTAGGACTTAGTTTGCTGAATACAGTAATATATATTTCTCACACGTTTAAAAAAAGAACAATTTGATTCAGCACCAAACATGGAGACATTTGAACGTAAAGGATTAGGATCAGATAAAAAGAAGTGCCTGATTTTATCTAATTTTTGGATACGAAATGGTTTCTGTCGGGTGAAATTATACATTAAGTAAAGTAAATCTGGGACAGTGACTGCTGCAGACACAAGCCCCTTGTGTCAGAGACCAGTGGAGAGCTCTCTGTTGTTTCTGGGTCCTTGGAGCAGGTTCAGTGACATGATGGGCTCTCTACAAAACTTAGACATTTTAATAAAACAAACACAAGAAAGTACCATAATCTAACAAACAGGATTTTACTTCTGTTAGACGGAGACACGATCATACAATTGATCCACAGGTTTCCCAAACTGCAGCAGCTGTATACAGGACTCCCTCTCTCAAACTGCTGCAGCTGTATACAGGTCTCTCTGCAGCTGATGCAGCTGTATACAGGTCTCTCTGCATCTGATGCAGCTGTATACAGGTCTCTCTGCATCAGAGGCAGCTGTTGCAGCTGTATACAGGTCTCTCTGCATCTGATGCAGCTGTATACATGTCTCTCTGCATCTGATGCAGCTGTATACAGGTCTCTCTGCATCTGATGCAGCTGTATACAGGTCTCTGCATCAGAGGCAGCTGTTGCAGCTGTATACAGGTCTCTCTGCAGCTGTATACAGGTCTCTGCAGCTGTATACAGGTCTCTCTGCTTCAGAGGCAGCTGCTGCAGCTGTATACAGGTCTCTCTGCAGCTGTATACAGGTCTCTCTGCAGCTGCTGCAGCTGTATACAGGTCTCTCTGCAGCTGTATACAGGTCTCTGCTTCAGAGGCAGCTGCTGCAGCTGTATACAGGTCTCTCTGCAGCTGCTGCAGCTGTATACAGGTCTCTGCTTCAGAGGCAGCTGCTTCAGCTGTATACAGGTCTCTCTGCAGCTGCTGCAGCTGTATACAGGTCTCTCTGCAGCTGCTGCAGCTGTATACAGGTCTCTGCTTCAGAGGCAGCTGCTGCAGCTGTATACAGGTCTCTCTGCAGCTGCTGCATACAGTAAGAACTCTCGGTTGGTGGCGAACAGTAAACAGCCTTTGATTTTGGTTTGTTGTTTAATTGGGTCTTTGAGGCGTATACTTTAGAGCTTTACGTCTGAAGAGCTGAGGAGACGGAGGATTCTAACCACAAAGCCATTAGCAAAACTCCAAGTGCTGAAGTAAGACAGCTGTGTGTGAAACTCTACCACTTCAATTATGTTGGAACTCCTTTCACTCGCGGTTTATAATCACAGACTAACTCCAAATACTGATATTTCAAGTCCAATAGTTTTTGGAATATCAAAAGCTCTTTTAGAGAAGTGTTTAAGAGAAAAACACAGGTCAATTTGACCACATATATCGCTGTCGATGAGTGTCTGGAACAACCCTATATATAAGAAAATGTAGTACATAATGACAATTTACAATTAAATGGAACACACACAAACTGTCACACACACACACTGTCACACACACAAACTGTCACACACACACTGTCACACACACACACACACTGTCACACACACACAGTCACACATACACACTGTCACACACACATACACACACACTGTCACACACACAAACTGTCACACACACACACACAGTCACACACACAAACTGTCACACACACACACACACACTGTCACACACACAAACTGTCACACACACACACACACACAGTCACACACACAAACTGTCACACACATAAACTGTCACACACACACACACAAACTGTCACACACACACTGTCACACACACACACTGTCACACGCACACACTGTCACACACACACACTGTCACACACACACACACAATCCAGTGAATTATTCCTTTGGGTCTGTGTTTATATCGTGTTGACGACATTTCCTTCACCTGTGATCACGTCCTCTTCCCAAAAGCTCCGTCAGTCGTGACGAATGTTTCCCCAAAGACTGGAGATGTCAAACCCGGCTCTGGGTCTAACACTCTGGGTCTAACACTCTGGGTCTAACACTCTGGGTTTAACACTCTGGGTTTAACACTCTGGGTCTAACACTCTGGGTCTAACACTCTGGGTTTAACACTCTGGGTCTAACACTCTGGGTCTAACACTCTGGGTCTAACACTCTGCGTCTAACACTCTGCGTCTAACACTCTGGGTCTAACACTCTGCGTCTAACACTCTGCGTCTAACACTCTGCGTCTAACACTCTGGGTCTAACACTCTGGGTCTAACACTCTGGGTCTAACACTCTGGGTCTAACACTCTGCGTCTAACACTCTGGGTCTAACACTCTGCGTCTAACACTCTGGGTCTAACACTCTGCGTCTAACACTCTGCGTCTAACACTCTGCGTCTAACACTCTGGGTCTAACACTCTGGGTCTAACACTCTGGGTCTAACACTCTGGGTCTAACACTCTGGGTCTAACACTCTGCGTCTAACACTCTGGGTCTAACACTCTGGGTCTAACACTCTGGGTCTAACACTCTGGGTCTAACACTCTGCGTCTAACACTCTGGGTCTAACACTCTGGGTCTAACACTCTGGGTCTAACACTCTGGGTCTAACACTCTGGGTCTAACACTCTGGGTCTAACACTCTGGGTCTAACACCATCAGACGCTCCAGGTCTCAGTCTGTGTCCACATGTAATAGTCTGTGTAGAGCACTTTGAAAATGTACCTGAAATGTACTTGGAATAGTATTCTGTTACTTTGGAAAAAGTAGAACCTGTATTACGAATAATGAGAATACTTTTATTTATACTTGTATTTATAATGTTTCTATTATTCATATTTTTTTAAAGTAAATTATGTACTTGTATTTGTAAATGTATTTGTATTGTAAATATTCACAAATATTGTAATAAACTTGTAAATATGTGTAGCCTAGCATACAAAAATGTTAAAAGTACACTTATGTAATACATGTTTTATGTGTTAAAAAAGGATTTGTAAACTGTATTCATAAAGTTCATTTTGTGTTTGAAAAAATGTTTGTTAAAAGTAGCTTGATAAAACCGTGCTCTGTACTACCTAACTTTATTATATGTCAATCTTTTATTTTCTGAACTTGTATTGGATAATGCACTTGTGCGAGCCAATCAGTGAGGAATGGGCGTCTACCATGTTCGTAACATCTCAGATCCATGGATCTATTATATTCACTGGATAGGGTATTACTAGCTTGTAGCTGAATAACTCATGTGCTCAGGGGATTCTCGCGGTACTGCAGACTGAACCAGACTAAATTCACGTGGGCTACCCAGAAATTTTCCCCATAGAACTCAATGCATATTAAAACAGCTCAACCTCAGCTGACAGAGAACCTACAGCTTTAAAGATCGGATTTTGTGGGGATTTTAGTGTCCCTTGTCATCCTGAACTTTTTTTCTTCTTAAATCCTTCGGTTTTGTTTAAATCCACACTTTAGTGCCACAAACTCTGCTCCTCTGGCTCTCGCTCTAACTCCCGCTCTGATGAACTGCTCTGATTGGTCAGAGCGCGGCCGAGCCCCTCTGTGCACGTGCGTGAGACCCGGTGTGAGACCCACACACGCGTGTTTGGCGCAACGCATTATGGGAGATAATACACTGCACAATACCGGGAGGACCAGACGATGCCCAAATACAGGCGAGTTTCCCATAGACCTTTGCGAGTTTCCCAAAGTTCTTTGCGGGTTTCCCATAGATCTTTGCGAGTTTCCCAAAGTTCTTTGCGAGTTTCCCATAGATCTTTGCGAGTTTCCCAAAGTTCTTTGCGAGTTTCCCATAGATCTTTGCGAGTTTCAGGCAACTTCCGCTAATCTTTCAGCCCCCATGCCGTCACAAAGCGCCACTGAGCACAACCATTCATTTGAATAGGGCGCCATCTTGAATCGCCGGGGCTTGCTCAGATCAGATTATCGGCACTCGGCTGGGAGCCGCCAAAGGGAACAGAACTACTGAGACATTCTGATAATATAGTCACAAAAACTAGCCGTGGATGCAGAGTCTACAGGTCTTGTGCGGGACTGTTGTTATCGGATGTGTTGTGAGTATGGATTGTATTTTTTTGGGTGTAAAACGAACTGTTTAGTACAAGGAAAAGGTATAATGCTAATCGTGAGCTAACGAGTTAGCATGCTATAGGTAAAACTAAACTCGTAATTTCTGTATGTAGAGTATAGAGTTTATTTATGAGAAACTAAAAGACTTTCTAATGCACAGCGGAACAAGGCCACTCTCGTTGGACCCTGCTGTGAGTTGTGAGTCTCCATTTTTCCACCAAGTGTGTGGATGTTCCCTGAAGCAACCTCCTGCACGAGGCAGCCGTAGCCGCCATTAAGCTCCTGAACCACGTGTTGTATGCCCAGCCCTGTCACCTACCCACCATCCAAGGTGAGTACATTGACCAGTGCACGTGCTTTTTATTTTAGCTTGCTTTGCAAGTGAAGCGGCCACTTTTAAGTTTCAAAGGCCTCAACGAACCCGAGCAACATCAGGCCTGCAACAAAAGACAATTGACTGAGGACTCAGGTTTAAGAAGGGTTACCTAATTTGGAGGAAACAAAAAGAGAAAACTTGGATGTTTATTTTTATTTGAAATCTGCTTGTACTTTATTTTTTATTTACATCTTATTTTTTTATTCAAACTAAATTGATACATTTTCACTAAACTTTACTGTGTTTGTGTCCTAAATAATTTGGTATAAAGGCTTTAAATTGGGTTTACAAATACATATATGCTCAAGCTAATTTAATTATTCTTAGTGGGTCATTAACAAGCATTATTATACGGCTCCTCACAGCAGCAGTAAAACGCTCCATTGATTTTAATGTAATTTCAAAACGTTCTACCGGTCATTATTTTCTATAACGGACCTCTCAAAACAATAATGACCGCTGCCCTTTGGCAACGCACTCTCTGCTTGTATTTCAAATGCATGGATAACTCCGCAAGTAGTTCCGGCCACTCCGGAGCTAGCCACGCTCAATCAACACACTTAAATGTTAATCGGAGAATACTTATACATATACATTCTTCACACACGTGCACGGAAATTTTCAGAATTTTCTGGTCTTGTCTTCACGACAAAAATACTATTTCTCTGCGTCAAAAAGCGATCGTGAAAAACCCGGAAGTTGTTCCGGTCGCTCAATAAACGAAAATGCCAATCAATCAACGCAATTAAATGTTAATCGGAGAGTAATTTATACATATCCAGTCTTAATACAAGTGCACGGAAGTTTTCAGAATTTTCCGTTTACGTTTTCATGACAAAAACACTGATGTAATGCGAGAAAAGGCGATCCCGAAAAACCCGGAAGTAGATACCGGCACATTTTAAGATACCGGCACATTTTCGGACACAATTGCAGAGGATCGAATTATGGATTTAGGTTAGGTTTATGTTTGGGTCACTCACCGCTGATGTTCAGAATTCTTTGTTATTATTTGTCCGCTGCGCGTCGGGGTCCGCTTCGCCCTGTCGGTACTTATTTTCCGATAATGACCTGCGTAATATACGTTATCCCTTACTTAACAATATTCCCATTAAGTGGAGGCACCGTCAATTCATATTTTAGTTAAAACTATTGATACTTGTTCAAGAGCACGTGTACTACTGTTTCTCCTGTTTACTAGCGCCTATAATTTTAAGTAACCGTACCCAGGACCCCGCCCATAGTACTTTCATAACATTAACAATAAGTTAATACCTTAGCTACTTGGGACGGGTGTTATATATGTATTCTAAATTCAGGTTTATTTACAAAAAGTATGAAGGTACTGTAAATTTCAAAATATTTAAAATCTTAACCCTATGAACCCATCTGCATCGGCGTCGATGCATGCGCACATGTTTTACAAATGATCAATTTACTCGCGAACGGTAAAACGTAGCAACTTACTTTTTTTTCCTCTGTGAAGTACATATTCAGGGCTTTCCAAAACTAGTTGATTCGTCTGTGCGATGCACGGAGGATAAACTACGCTTATCTGAAAGTCCGTGTCCAAAGCGTGACCCGTGAGGTACAAACAGCTGTGAGATACAAACACACGGGGACTGCCAAAGATCGTCAGAGAGTGAGATGTCTCACTCCTCTGCGTTTACTTGTTCTCCCACAGTTGAAACTACAGCTGCGATTGCAATAACCGGCTGAAGAGTGCGCATTATTGATAAAGACGATAATAAATACAGTAAAATGACATTATGTGTATATGATGTATATAAATATATGTATTATACAGTGCCTTGCGAAAGTATTCGGCCCCCTTGAACCTTTCAACATTTTGTCACATTTCAGGTTTCAAACATAAAGATATAACATTTTAATTTTTTGTCTTGAATCAACAAGTGGGACACAATCGTAAAGTGGAACGAAATTTATTGGATAATTTAAACTTTTTTAACAAATAAAAAACTGAAAAGTGGGGCGTGCAATATTATTCGGCCCCTTTACTTTCAGTGCAGCAAACTCAGTCCAGAAGTTGATGATAAATAGAATGCACCTGTGTGTAATCAAGTCTCCGTATAAATGCACCTGCTCTTTGAAAGTCTCAGAGTTCTGTTTAAAGCGCAGAGAGAACCCTGAAGACAAAGGAACACACCAGGCAGGTCCGAGATACTGTTGTGGAGAAGTTTAAAGCCGGATTTGGATACAAAAAGATTTCCCAAGCTTTAAACATCTCAAGGAGCACTGTGCAAGCAATTATGTTGAAATGGAAGGAGTATCAGACCACTGCAAATCTACCAAGACCCGGCCGTCCCTCCAAACTTTCATCTCAAACAAGGAGAAGACTGATCAGAGATGCAGCCAAGAGGCCCATGATCACTCTGGATGAACTGCAGATAACTTCAGCTGAGGTGGGAGAGTCTGTCCATAGGACAACAATCAGTCGTGCACTGCACAAATCTAGCCTTTATGGAAGAGTGGCAAGAAGAAAGCCATTTCTCAAAGATATCCATGAAAAGTCTCGTTTAAAGTTTGCCACAAGCCACCTGGGAGACACACCAAACATGTGGAAGAAGGTGCTCTGGTCAGATGAAACCAAAATCGAACTTTTTGGCCACAATGCAAAACGATATGTTTGGCGTAAAAGCAACACAGCTCATCACCCTGAACACACCATCCCCACTGTCAAACATGGGGGTGGCAGCATCATGCTTTGGGCCTGCTTTTCTTCAGCAGGGACAGGGAAGATGGCTAAAATTGATGGGAAGATGGATGGAGCCAAATACAGGACCATTCTGGAAGAAAACCTGTTGGAGTCTGCAAAAGACCTGAGACTGGGACGGAGATGTATCTTCCAACAGGACAATGATCCAAAACATAAAGCCAAATCTACAATGGAATGGTTCACAAATAGACGTATCCAGGTGTTAGAATGGCCAAGTCAAAGTCCAGACCTGAATCCAATCGAGAATCTGTGAAAAGAGCTGAAGACTGCTGTTCACAAACGCTCTCCATCCAACCTCACTGAGCTCGAGCTGTTTTGCAAGGAAGAATGGGCAAGAATTCCAGTCTCTCGATGTGCAAAACTGATAGGGACATACCCCAAGCGACTTGCAGCTGTAATTGCAGCAAAAGGTGGCGCTACAAAGTATTTGCGCAAAGGGGCCGAATAATATTGCACGCCCCACTTTTCAGTTTTTTATTTGTTAAAAAAGTTTAAATTATCCAATCAATTTCGTTCCACTTCACGATTGTGTCCCACTTGTTGTTGAATCTTGACAAAAATTGTAATTTTTATATCTTTATGTTTGAAGCCTGAAATGTGGCGAAATGTTGAAAGGTTCAAGGGGGCCGAATACTTTCGCAAGGCACTGTATAAATAATTGATGTTGGTTTTTTTTTTGGCTCAGTTTCTTCTGGTTTTACGTTTTTTACAGCTGTGCTACTGAAGCAACCCCAGCATCATAGACAAACTGCTTCAGGAAGGGCATCAAGAGTTTTTTGCTTTTATAGTGGAATTTTGTAAAAAGTATAATAGTTAGAGATTCATTTTTTTTCCCCATTATCCCCAAGACCATAAATAACATTTCTATGCAGTGTAAAAAGTTGTTTATAGCATTTCATTATTTTTTCAATACATTTTTGTTAATTGATTTTCCGTTTGATTTTTTTGTCTTCATGATTCCATAATTTTTATATAATTCATATGACAGCTTTACAATATGAATATTCTAAAACCCCAGGTTGTACTGAAAAAAACAAAGTATACTGCTTGACTCTGCATCAAAAGATGACTGTTTTATGAAAAATTATACACAAAGAAAACCAGGCGAGGAAAGTTCCCCAAAATGACCCATGTGCATAGAGGGTTAATAAACATCATTAAAAGTAAAAAAAAAATAAAACGTGTTTTGTAATTATTCGATCATTTGTTTAATTTTTGTTAAGTGCTTCAACAGTAGCAGTTTAAAAACAATTTTCAATGTAAGAACACCTAATGTAAGAATACCTCTTCTTTTTTTTTTACCTTAAAACATAATGTGAGAAAGTATGTATTCCCAGTATTTTTAGAAAGTAACTGTAAACTAAGTACTAGACTATAAAGAATAGTTACTATAGTGGAATACAGTTACTCTGTGAGAATTTACAGAATACGTGACGGTATTTACACTGGTAATAGTCTTTGCTGTTAAAGCATTTGATTAGACTGCTGGACACGGTGAGCGCTGCTGTCGCTGAGGTCACGGGGTTTGTCGCTTTCCCCCGGTCCATTCAGCGAAGCCTCCTGTAGCCACGAGGAAACGAGCTGTGGCTGCCTGCTGTAAAAGACAGCGTTTGACAAAGGATAAAGCAGCTAATGCACCTCCCGTCTAAAGCTGATCGATACTATCTACTCTCAACCAACATTGACTTTTACACATTCCCCAGGACGAGAGATGTTCAATGGCAATTTCAAAGTTGTAGCATTTTCAATATTTGTGTATGTCTTTGCAGATATGGACTCACTGTGCTTGTCGTGGTGTAACATATTTAGGACCATTCATTCTCTTCTGTCTGAGTAAAAGGAGAGACATATGGTTTAATATCTTCCATTACTACACGGTTCTTCACAGCAGAAGAAGAACTCTCCATTGATTTGAATGTTATTTCAAAACCTTCTACCGGGCTTTATTTCTTGGCAGCAGACCTCTGACACCAATAATGGCCGCTGCCCATGGCAACGCAATTTGTGCGTGTAATTCACGTGTGTCAGGTCACTCCGCAGGAAGTCTGGGCAGAACCATTTGGTGGATCACTTTCTGAGTCACTATATCGATTTTGAATCTTGGAACAGAAATCTACCTCATTGGGAACACTGAAAAAAATGATGAAATATGAGGTAATGATTGCTAATTGCAATTTTTTAAGTGTTTTTTTTATTTTTTATCTCAATTTGACAGGGG